TTGTAATAACTCCATATAACTACTGGATAATGGAAATGAAGGTGATTGGTGGGAAACATGCAATTAAATGTGATTATAAATCATGCTCATTGGAAAGGTCAATGTCATTTTGATACTTTTAAAATTTTCAGGGCAACTAACAAGTATGTTCTTTTGTCTGCCTTTCTACCAACCTCACCCACCTTAGTGGTCAATTTAATCAACCTGATATGAAACTACTAATATTACTAATAGAATGTCAAAGGTTGTAGGGACAGAAACATCTACTGAATGTAAGTTAATATATTAACCAAATGGCGCCTTTCCACTATGGTTATACAAATGCCCAATTTATTGCTTCTTTTGGGCTTCCATTCACTCTTTCATAAAGTGTCTTTTATCTTCAACACTGTATTTTCCAAACTAATGCTAAATTACAGAAAATTGAGCATTTCTAGGACCTTGGAATGAAGCAGGCAATCTATTGAAGATAATCTTCTTAAATTACTGATTGTGACCTAAGAGATGTTATATAAATAACTATCAAATTATCTGCTTATTTTATATTTTATTTCATATTTATTATATTTAAGTTTTTTAGTAATTGTTTTCTTTAAAAAAAAAAATGTCCTGCTAGTCATTCCATGCTGAGCAAATTAACTAACATGTTCTGGATCAAGTATTTGCATCTTAAATATCCAAATATATAAGTACAATTAATAAAGAAAAGTATATTTGTTTTCAAATACTTGAAGGGCTCTTACCTAATATGGAAGATAGTCTTTGTTTGAAATTCCAAGTGTACAATTTAATGAATTTTGGTAATTTCATACAAGTAAATTGAATTAAATAATTTGTACCTCTACAGTCAAGATACAGAAGAGTTCCGTCCTCCTAAAAAGTTCTCTTTGCTCTCAATACATTTCCCACCTCTGGCTCTAGGCAGTCACTTACCTACCACAGGAGATGGTCTTGTTTTGAGTTGTTTCAGAGTGTGATTTTTACTAATGGATATGAGTTAAAGAGATATCAGTATGATATAAGGAAGAGTTTTCTGACAATTAGGTATAAACTCTTCATCAATTAGAGAGGTCTGAACACTTGCAAATTAAAATCAATGCCTCAAAGTCTCTTCCCATTCCAGGGTTCTATGACTATCTTGTTCGTGTTTTGGAATAGCATGTTCTAGTTAATTTGCATTTTTCTGAATAACCCTAAGTTAACTCTGGGTAACTCTTCAGGTTTTTGTTTCAACACTTGGTGACAGTCTTCATAAAATGTGTTATAAAAGTGTTCTGTCTTATTATCTTGGTGTACATTGTGCTAGATTTGTGGGTTTTTTTTTTTAATGATTGAGAATGTTGTGATGACTTGGAGTCACCATCATTTCTGAACATTAATCATCACTGACAAAATTATCAGTGAAGAATATGAGGGAGTTTAGGTTCTGTAATTTGCTTTTTTAAAAATAACCCTTTGATCTCAGTTTTCTTTGTTTTTCATCTTTTCTCCTCCCCTCCCATACCCCCAGTAGACTCCTCTTTTTACTGTCTGTCCCTGTCTGCATCAACTGGCTTGCCAGTCTGAATCTGAATTGGTGAAAAATGCCAGTTTTCTTTATTGCTTGTCTCCATGCCCTCTAATCAGATATTTCAAATTTACCTTTTCTTCTTCTTATTCAACAACTCTCTAGCCATGACAACCCTTCCCCTTCCTCACACCCGTCTTATCCTTATTACCTGCCTGCGTGGATTATTTCAACAACCTCTTTGTTTCCAGTCTTTCCCAATTCTGACTAACTTGTATATTTCACTGTCAAACTAAGCTTGTCTGAGTTCAGGATTTCATTCCTTAGCACAAGAACTTGCAGGGATTTCCTACTGCGTGGCCCATCAATTCCAAACTACCCCCACTAGGGTTTTAAATCCCTCCACAAATGGCTCTACTACATGACTTAAGATTCATTTGTTGCTCTGTATACACTGGCCCTTTTCTGCCTCTGGAACACATGTTCCTACCCTCATGTCTTTGCTTGACATGACATTGTTGCTCAATCATCTTTACTCTATCCAAACTGAAGGTGTCCTTCAAGTACTACTTCCTTCACAAAACCTTTTCTGTCAGCTCCTATCCATACCAATTTCTTATGAATGGAGAATGCTTAGCTCTCAATAACTCCTTTCATTTTTACACATTAGCTCTATCTCTGTGCTGGATTGTACGGTCCACAAGGGCAGAGACCAGATCCTATGTTGAATTTGTTTCCCCATAATGTCAAGTACAATGCAGGGCACATAGTATATAGTATTCCTAACTTTACAATGTACTTTCCACATACATTTTCTTTCTTATTTTATATACCATAAATAACATAAACACCTGCAGATTGACTTATTTGTTGTCACTCATTCCTTGCTTACCTGAACATCGCTATCATTTATTGTTCTGAAAGATCTCCTCTTACCTCTTCTCTTCTTCCAAATGTAAATAGTATTCACTACTTTATGAAGGTCAGTAAATATTGGCATTGATATACCAGTAAGGAAAGAAAACCATAAAAGCGAAAGTATGAATTATCTGTATTATACTAAATGAAATCAATCCTAATCATTAAAAGTTACATAGAGTTTTTTAAAATTTTTAAATGGCCTAAACTTATATGCAGATAAAACAGAGACCCACAATTCTTTATCTGCAATTCTGAACTACAGAAAGCTCTTAAGCTGAAAGTCTTTGTAAGTTTATAGTCTTAATTTATCCCACTTAAAATGATGTTTATATGTTTTGCTGCAAATATATTAATATATTGGGTTATAGGGTACTGCCCTAGACCCTGTTGGGAATGCTTCCTAATAAAAAGAATGTGTATTGTATTACCTTTTTTAAAATCTAAAAAAAGGTCTGAATTCTGAAAATGACCTCAGGGGTTTCAGATAAGGGATTATGGATCTGTAATACATTTGTATAGTGCTCTGCAACCCTTCATTTAATAATATCATTTGATCCTCCAAATAATGTTATAAGGTAGCTACTACTACTGTTATTATTTCCATTTTCCAGATTAGAAAAGATGCAGAAAGATTAAGTGACTTGATGGTGAATGATAGGACTGAAGCTCATGTTTTCTAATTTTAAGTCCTAATCCCTTTTCTATGCCAATACTTTGAGCAGATGCTTTGGAAGTCATTCTGAGTTGTAGATTCTTCATAGACAAAATACAGAAGGTACAAACTGAAGATAAAATGATGACTTAAAGAGATACCAAAGATTAAGTTTCCTCTGAGTTGAACGTTTAGAGTCTAATACTTTCTAAAGACTATATGCATATATATGTACATGTATATATGTACATATATAAGTAGTTTGTAAAGTCAATTTCACTCCCCGTTAATATAACTTACATGACAATAGTACAAAATCTGTACCTAAGTTTCTTAAATATTTTCATGTATAAACAATAGGAGATTTCTGTTGAACTTGGAGAAGATATGAGCCTTCCTTTTAGACTAAGAACAGAAAGCAGATAAAATATTCTAATATAAGGAGTATGAGGTGTATGTTTTTGTGGCTAGGGAATTTGTTAAAAGGCAGAAGACGGCTTCCCTGGTGGCGCAGTGGTTGAGAGTCTGCCTGCCGATGCAGGGGACGCGGGTTCATGTCCCGGTCCAGGAAGATCCCACATGCCACGGAGCGGCTAGGCCCGTGAGCCATGGCCGCTGAGCCTGCGCGTCCGGAGCCTGTGCTCCGCAACGGGAGAGGCCACAACAGTGAAAGGCCCACGTACCGAAAAAAAAAAAAAAAAAGGCAGAAGAGAAAGCAAAGAAACCATAAATGGGATGGCAAGTAGGTTGGCTTTCCAGAATGAGAATTCTTCTAAGAAAAGGGCAAAGGAACTTGAGTCCAGGGACTGTGTCCTAGGCATACTTGTGTTCCAAGTGTGCTTGGGCTTAGTAAATGTCCAACAGATGAATGACTACCAAACGAAACTAAGTATGATAGAAATGATAGGCAAATATTTCTGAATCCTATTGTTCAAAGCTGAAAAATAAAACTGCATCAAGTTTAGGATACTCACAGAATGGGTCATTACAGTTTTGTAGAACTAAAACTTCCTTAATTCCCATATTCTAAGAAAAGCACTGAGTTTTGAATGAGCCAACTGAAATTTAAATTCTAGCTTGGCCACTGGACAGCTGTGTGGCCTGGTACAAAGAAGTACATTTAAAAGTCCCAGTTTCCTTAATTGTAAAAATAGGGATAATAATATTTACTCTGCATAGTTGTTTTAGGATTAAATTAGATAATATATATGGAAGGGATAACATAGCACCCAATACATGGTCATCCTTCTTTGCACCCCTGCTTCCTTCCTTCCATCCTTTCATCCATCCTTCCATCATTAACATCCATAACATCTTTCCAAAGTAGCCAACTCTGGCCATACTTTTGTTGTAGTCTGAAACAGGGTCAGAAAAAGAAGACCCACAAAATTCTCCTCTTGCTGTTCTGTGCTCAGGTATACAAGAACACTTGGGGCACAGCAGGAGAAAGGTGAGCTACAAGAAGGGCTTTAATTACTGAGAACCTGCTCTGCACCTTCCTAGAGATGCCACAGTGCTACCTACCTATTTACTCATTCATTTCTCAAGTATTTGCTTAGTGGTATTACCAGGTATAATACTTCACTAGGTTCTGAAATTATTGAGATAATAAATTCAGTCCTCAAAAAGGCAGGGGACCACATGGTAGGGAATACAGAAGTTTAAAAAATAATTGCAAATCATCTCTCAAGGTATCTAACACTAGAAGTCAGTAATCACATACCTCTGTATTACCATAAAGGAAAAAGTGAGATATCTTGCCTGAGAGAAGCAGAGGACGAGTCTGGAGACAGAGGTGGACAGAGAAAACTTGGCAGAAGAGGGGACATTTAACATATTCTGAAAGATCTTTAACCTTTAAAATCTCTTAGGATTTTTCCATCTTCGGTCATGGTTAAACTATAAAGAATGAAATTGATATATCAAAATTTCAATAAATGTTTTATTCTTTTTATTGGATCAAGTTTTTACAAAATGCTGGTTTCCATTGTCTTTATGTTGATGTAGTTTTGTTCTCTCCTAGCTCCCCTCCTGACTGGATGAGTCACAGCACGTCTTACAGCAGTAATACATTAGGTTAATAAAGCAATTATTTAATTGACTCTAATTTCATTGGCATTTCTATTAGCTAAAGGAAAGAGGTTCAATCACTGTTTACATTTGTAAAGCCAATATTATGGTTTAAATTATGGCCTTTGGACAAAATTGAAAATTGAAGCCTGATAATCCTTAAAGCAATATTTACAGAGGACTCTTTGTCTTTGTAAAGAATAAAGGGAATGGAAACAAGAGCACATTAAATCAGAGGGGCTTTTAAATATTCATTTTGCAATCAAGTTCACTGGTTTCCAGGCCACTATCTACCTTCATCATTCTTTTTGTAAAGAAATACCAAATCTCTTGCTTTAATTAGCCTGTGAAATAGAAACTATTGCTTCACATTTTTGTTTTTGATTCTGGAGTACAGGAGTTCCAGATACAACTCTCACAGTACAAATATTATTCTTCAACAGAAACATCTTGGGAGATACTGCAAAAATGCTGACATTTTGAATAGGTAGCTTGATTGAAAGTGCATGCTACCTAACACCCCCTAGTAAAACCTCTTACAACCACCCAATGAAATAACTATAAAAACACTAAAACTGATAAAAACTAACAACTCCAAGATCAGTCAGTAATCCTGTTGTCAATGGTTTTCCATGAATCACAAGATGATGGAAGTGGTCTAGATGGAGTTCTCTTACTTTAAAGATGAATGACCAAAGAACCCAAATAGTGCTTGTGAAAATATGCTCCAGCTTGAGGGAATGTGAAAATCACTCTGAAAAACAAATAAACAAACACACAGAAACATGCTTAATATGGGGATCAGACAAAAAGGTTAGAACAATCTAGTATCCTCCATTGGGTATAAGGCAAGCCTCTGAACAAACTGTAGAAACCCGTAGGTTACAATATGTAATGCAAGAGAAGCAATGAGATGCAATAACAAGAGGCCAAAGTAACAACGGAAGTGGATAAGATTTGGAAAAAAGTAAAAGGATTTAAGTTGGCACTAAAGAAAATCAAATTAATTTTTATATGTAGTTAATTTTAAGAAAGAGGAAAACAGATTTAAAGCATCCAGGAAGGAAAAAATAAAGCAGGTTACCTAAAAAGGGACAAAATTAGGCTGGGCTTAAACTTCTCTGAAGGATTAAGTGCTATGAGATGATGGCACATCTACAGCATTTTTTTAGTGCCATCTTTAACTTACAGAAAGGTGACAAAAATAGTACACAGATTTTTCATTTACCGTTCACCCAGATTCCCCTTATGTTTAACATCTTACATAACCAAAAAACACTTATCAAAACTAAGAAATCATCCTTAGGATACTACTCTTAACTAAAGTACAGAACTTTTTTCTACCATTGTCCTTTTGTTGTTCCGGGATCCCACATTGCATTTAGTTGTCATGGCTCCTTAGTCTCCTCCAATCTATGCCAGTTCTTGAGTCTTTGTCTTTCATGACCTTGACACTTTTGAAGGGTACTGGTCAGTTATTTTTGTAGACTGTGCCTCAATTTGTTTGTCTGATGCTTTCTCGTTAGATTAAGGTTGTGCATTATTGGTAAGGAAACCATAGAGGCAATGGGCCCTTCTCAGTGTCTCATATCAGGGATTAAATAACATTAGTAAGTCTTATTACTGGTGATGTTACTCTTGGTCACTTAGTTAAGCTGGTGTTTGTTAGGATTCTCTAATGTTGTTACTCTTTTTCCTTTGTAATTACTAAATATTTGAGGGAGATACTTTGACCTTATGCAAATATCCAATTTCTGCATAAACTTTTACCTATTAATTTTAGTAGCCATTGTATTGTGTGGCAATATTGCCATGGTGTTTTAATAGTGATTTCTATTTCTCTGTATATATTATTTAGAATTGTTATTTGAGTAAGAGTTGTCACATATCCCCCTATTTATTTACTTATTTATATTAGTATGGATTCATGAATATTTATTTTATTATTCGGTTATAATGTAATGCAATCATTATTTATTTTGTTGCTCAAGCTTTTCCAACTTTGTCAATTAACTTTTCCAGGCTGGCTCCTAAGCCTTTTTTATATACTCCCATCTTTTTTTTTTTAACCTCCTTACTTTCTTTCTTTCTTTTTTTTTTTTTTAATTTTATTAATATTTATTTATTTTAGGCTATGTTGGGTCTTTGTTGCTGCACGCAGGCCTTCTCTAGTTGCGGCGAACAAGGGGCTACTCTTCATTTCGGTGTGTGGGCTTCTCATTGCAGTGGCTTCTCTTGTTCCGAAGCACTGGTTCTGGGCACACAGGCTTCAGTAGTTGTGGCACACGGGCTCTACAGCACAGGCTCATTAGTTGTGGTACATGGGCTTAGTTGCTCCGCAGTACGGGGGATCTTCCTGAACCAGAGATCGAACCCATGTCCCCTGCGCTGGCAGGCAAATTTTTGTTTGTTTGTTTGTTTGTTTTGTTTTTGAAATAGCTGGCTTTATTTATGATTTGCTCATTTTACCTTCTTTACCACCTTTTTTTTAAATTTCTGAGGTATACATTTTAAAGTAATAACTAGAATTATGACTTATAACATTATACCAGAATATATAAGAATTTTAGAAATTTCATGCAATGTCTGAAACATTTATATTAACATATTTCCATACGAATAACCCAAAGAAAGTTTAGTATTAGTTGTTTTTTGTTTTTGTTTTTTTATACTGCAGGTTCTTATTAGTCATCAATTTTATACACATCAGTGTATACATGTCAATCCCAATAGCCCAATTCAGCACACCACCATCCCCATCCCACCGCGGTTTTCCCCCCTTGGTGTCCATACGTTTGTTCTCTACATCTGTGTCTCAACTTCTGCCCTGCAAACCGGTTTTCTAGGTTCCACATACATGCATTAATATACGATATTTGTTTTTCTCTTTCTGACTTACTTCACTCTGTATGACAGTCTCTAGATCCATCCATGTCTCAACAAATGACTCAATTTTGTTCCTTTTTATGGCTGAGTAATATTCCATTGTATATATGTACCACAACTTCTTTATCCATTCGTCTGTCGATGGACATTTAGGTTGCTTCCATGACCTGGCTATTGTGAATAGTGCTGCAATGAACATTGGGGTGCATGTGTCTTTTTGAATTATGGTTTTCTCTGGGTATATGAGCAGTAGTGGGATTGCTGAATCATATGGTAATTCTATTTTTAGGTTTTTAAGGAACCTCCATACTGTTCTCTATAGTGGCTGTATCAATTTACATTCCCACCAACAGTGCAAGAGGGTTCCCTTTTCTCCACACCCTCTCCAGCATTTGTTGTTTGTAGATTTTCTGATGATACTCATTCTAACTGGTGTGAGGTGATACCTCATTGTAGTTTTGATTTGCATTTCTCTAATAATTAGTGATGTTGAGCTTTTCATGTGCTTCTTGCCCATCTGTGTGTCTTCTTTGGAGAAATGTCTATTTAGGTCTTCTGCCCATTTTCGGATTGGGTTTTTTGTTTCTTTAATATTGAGCAGTATGAGCTGTTTATATATTTTGGAGATTAATCCTTTGTCCGTTGATTCATTTGCAAATATTTTCTCCCATTCTGAGGGCTGTCTTTTCGTCTTATTTATGGTTTCCTTTGCTGTGCAAAAGCTTTGAAGTTTCATTAGGTCCCATTTGTTTATTTTTCTTTTTATTTCCATTACTCTAGGAGGTGGATCAAAAAAGATCTTGCTGTGATTTATGTCAAAGAGGGTTCTTCCTATGTTTTCCTCTAAGAGTTTTATAGTGTCCGGTCTTACATTTAGGTCTCGAATCCTTTTTGAGTTTATTTTTGTGTATTGTGTTAGGGAGTGTTCTAATTTCATTCTTTTAAATGTAGCTGTCCAGTTTTCCCAGCACCACTTATTGAAGAGATTGTCTTTTCTCCATTGTGTATCTTTGCCTCCTTTGTCATAGATTAGTTGACCATAGGTGCGTGGGTTTATATCTGGGCTTTCTATCTTGTTCCATTGATCTATGTTTCTGTTTCTGTGCCAGTACCATATCGTCTTGATTACTGTAGCTTTGTAGTATAGTCTGAAGTCAGGGAGTCTGATTCCTCCAGCTCCATTTTTTTCCCTCAAGACTGCTTTGGCTATTCGGGGTCTTTTTTGTCTCCATACAAATTTTAAGATGATTTGTTCTAGTTCTGTAAAAAATGCCATTGGTAATTTGATAGGGATTGCATTGAATCTGTAGATTGCTTTGGGTAGTATAGACATTTTCACAATGTTGATTCTTCCAATCCAAGAACATGGTATATCTCTCGATCTGTTGGTATCATCTTTAGTTTCTTTCATCAGGGTCTTATAGCTTTCTGCATACAGGTCTTTTGTTTCCCTAGGTAGGTTTATTCCTAGGTATTTTATTCTTTTTGTTGCTATGGTAAATGGGAGTGTTTCCATAATTTCTCTTTCAGATGTTTCATCATTAGTATATAGGAATGAAAGAGATTTCTGTGCATTAATTTTGTATCCTGCAACTTTACCAAATTCGTTGATTAGCTCTAGTAGTTTTCTGGTGGCATCCTTAGGATTCTCTATGTATAGTATCATGTCATCTGCAAACAGTGACAGTTTTACTTCTTCTTTTCCGATTTGGATTCCTTTTATTTCTTTTTCTTTTCTGATTGCCGTGGCTAGGACTTCCAAAACTATGTTGAATAATAGTGGTGAGAGTGGACATCCTTGTCTTGTTCCTGGTCTTAGAGGAAATGCTTTCAGTTTTTCACCATTGAGAATGATGTTTGCTGTGGGTTTGTTGTATATGGCCTTTATTATGTTGAGATAGGTACCCTCTATGCCCACTTTCTGGAGAGTTTTTATCATAAATGTGTGTTGAATTTTGTCAAAAGCTTTTTCGGCATCTATTGAGATGATCATATGGTTTTTATTCTTCACTTTGTTAATATGGTGTATCACATTGATTGATTTGCATATATTGAAGAATCCTTGCATCCCTGGGATAAATCCCATTTGATCATGGTGTATGATCCTTTTAATGTGTTGTTGCATTCTGTTTGTTAGTATTTTGTTGAGGATTTTTGTATCTATATTCATCAGTGATACTGGTCTGTAACTTTCTTTTTTGCAGTATCTTTGTCTGGTTTTGGTATCAGGGTGATGGTGGGGCAGGCAGATTCTTAACCACTGTGCCACCAGGGAAATCCGTAACATCCTTACTTTCTGATGCTCCAGGCTCATATTGTGTTTTTCCTGCCCTAGCCCTAGAAGTAGCCGTTTCTCTGAGGAGTCCTGTCTTTTGCATAGCAGAGTGGAATTTATAAACCAAGATTTAGGTGCCAGCTGTTCATTGCTACTGGGGTACCTTCTAGCTCCTTTCAGTGGATAGAGCTAGGAAACACATGTGTAGGTACTAACTCATGCATACAAACACATCAAAATTTATTTCTGTATCATTTATATGTAAATATATTAAAAGAATAAGTTCATATTGATATCTCCAATTTTAATCCAACATGACAGGGTTCATTCTAGCTTTCTTCCCTTATTTGTAACTTCTTTCTCTTACAGTAAGAAACATGACTCCCATTTTCTATAATTTCTGATAACCCTACTATATAAACATAAGTAAAAATATCTTTAAAAGCATCTAAAAATACTTTTAAAATCTAAAAAAAATTTTTTAATCTAAGAGAGTAGTTTTACATTTCTTAATCCCTCTGTTAGAAACAAATTACCAACTAGAGAACATTGTTCGTGAACAGCTCTTTTGTCTTTAGTCTTAAAACAGTTAAAACACTGCTTTCCAGAGTTTCTTAGCTTGGCTCCTTTCTTGTCCACCCCCTTCAGTGTAGTTATGTAATTCATTTGTAATATTGTGTGATTCCCATGTTACAGTCTGTATTTCATATTCCCCCCCACATCCTAGTTGATTTTGTTGTTGTTATTATCGTATAATAAAATTCACTCTTTGTGGTGTACAGTTCTATGTGTTTTGACAAATGCAGAGAGTCATGTGTCGACCACTAGAGTTCCCTGCAGTACAATTTCATCAACCCCCTAAACAAGAGTTACCCCTTTATCGATAATCTCTCCTCCCATTCCTAACCCCTGGAAAGCACTGATCTGTTTTTTCTCTGTACTTTTGCTTTTTTAGGAGTGTCTGTCATGTAAAATAGAATCATACAGCATATAGCCACTTGATTCTGTCTTCTTTCACTTAGGAAAATGCATTGGAAATTCACCCAAGTTGTTGTGTGAACCAACAGTTTGTTCCTTCTTATGGCTGAGTTATATTTTATTGTATGAAATAGTTTAAGGGCATCTGGGTTGTTTACAATTTGGGGCTATTGTGAATAAAGCTGCCATAAACATTTGTTTATAGGGTTTTATGTGAATGTAAATTTCTTTTTGTCTTAGGAAGACACCTAGGAGTGGGATAGCAGGGTTATCCCTTTCTTTATCCCATAAAGAAAGGATATCTAAGAAGACAGATCACATCATATAATATAAATTATAAAACCAGAACTCTTATTAAAATCAAGGGGGAACAGAATTCCCAATCTATTTAACATTCTTCCAGAATTTCTGGCTAGTGGAATAAGACATAAATCAGAAGTAATGGACTAACTGCTGGAGAGGAAAAGGGGAAAATGGTTATTAACTGCAGAGAATATTTCTTAGAAAACCCCAAAATACCACATAAAATCCTCTTAGAAATCAGTAAGGCTATGAAATATAAGAAAAATATTGAAAAATATCAATATCCCAGTAAGAAACTGAAGATATAGTAAAAAAAAAAAAAAAATCTCTGAATATTAGCAACATACACACCATAAAATTTCTAGGAACAACCCTAACCAAAATATGCAGGATCCATATATAGAAAACTATAAAAATTATTGAAATATAAAGGACATGACCATTGAGTTTTGCAGTTACTGCCATTCATTAATTCATTCAATTTGATTACTTGCCCAAAATTTCTTTGCCACAGATATAAGTTCCATAAGAGAAGGAGCAATAATTATTGTATTCACGGTGTTATCCCCTGTGCCTAATATATTGCCTGACTCATAGTAGGCACTCCAAAAATATTTTTCTATATGCCAGTATTTTGTTCAGTTATCTGATCTGTGAAGTTTGTATAGCTTCTAAGAAACATTCACTAAGTAGCTTAGTAGTTTTTGAAAGGAGTCTAGACTAGTTAATTACCATCACCTAGCAAATTGTAATTCCCATCCATTTGACAGCATCATGACTCATGGCTTGAAGCATAGGTACCTAGAGTCTTGCATTACTATCTTTTGTCACTTTCTCTCTGTAACATTAATGGATTCCACAACACAACACCAAGAATTTCAAAGCTTAGGAGAGTTTAGAGGAATGGCCCTTCTCTATAAAAAGGTTGGTTATACTTCATCAATTCAATTTCTAGATCCCACAGGCAATGCTAGCTTAATAGCAACTGAATGGAAATGAAATTCTAGTAATTGAAAATTTGAGTTATTAAGGAAAGAAAAAGAAACAGAAAAGAAACCCACAGAATCTAGGAGCAGGTAAAAGTAAAATATTTCACAGTATGCAGTCTGAGCCTTTTATCTGAAATCTGCTTTCTGCTTCCATGTAATACAGAATTTAAGGTTAATGATTCACAGTATTCCATTGCTTGATAGCTTAATTTTATTTCATAATTAGGTTGACATTTTTCCTCATAATATTCAATTGCTAATATTTTCCTGGGTTTTAAAACTAATGGAATAATATACCATTAGATAAAGTTAGCTGAATAGCTGAATCACAGCTAAAGATAAAGCATTTTCTTGAATATTCTTATCATTTTCCAGTGTTTTATTATCTATGGGTGTGTGTGTACTTGTGTTTTTATGTGTTTGCTGGGGGTGGGGAATACTGTGTAGTAATTTCCCTGTTGTTCTTCTTCTAAATAGGGACTTCCAGTGAACAATAATAATGGTAATGCCATAGTTATTTACTGAGAGAACTAATCGGGATTCTGCAGTGGTGTGTTGAAGTTTTGTGAAAATGAAATTAGAGATGCAGCATATTTCAGCAGTAATGAATCTGTTTATGTTGTATAAAGCAGGGTTAAGATAAAGCAATTTTTCAAACTCAGTGCTTTTTGATGGTCAAGTGTTTATTCCATTGGGTCATTAATATACTATATTTCCAAAGAATTCTTTGGGCAAAGTTCATCTTCTGGCTAATGTTAAAGATGAATTGGCCCACAACAGGCTTTTTACATTTTGTAATGATAATTCTAAATTGTTAGGTAAGATCCTCTTGAGTATACTCTATTGCCTATAAATAAAAGGGCTGGCAAAGACCTTGTTTTTAAAAACTGAATTTACAACAAAGTTAGGCATATTAAACATCAATAGACATTATTGGTTCTACTGTATATTGCTGGGCCAATGATGGATTTTAACAGTAAAGAAAACTTAATAAATTTGATATGGAAATCGGAATTGTAATACAGTAGCAGGAACTCAACACGAAAATTTAGACATTAATGAGAATAACCTTTGAATGTCAGCTTGAATTAGACTTCCTGCATTTTGGCCAAATTTATAGGTTATGGCAAATAGGTTAGGTGGTAGGACAGAAATAACTGAAATGATTTTGTTTACCAAATATTTCAATGCCAATTGTTCACTTTATTTTTTAATGCTTCCTAGCTATTTCCATTAAAAAATGACAAATATTCGACCTTAAATCTGTATCATTAAGTACAGAAGGAAGGTATTTAAATGGACTCCTTTTGGAAGTTAAGTTTAATATTAGTCAACTGATATATTTGAAGTTAGAATTTAAATTAGGGAGATAAACTCAGAGGAGAGGAATACAGGGCAGTGCTGTGGGGATGTGAAATGGGGGAAAAGGCTCTCCAAAATAGTAAAGCCTTCTCTCAAGATATTAGGTAGTTGTGTTGGGTTATTCACCTGGCAGTCATAGAAAGAGGTAATATACTGCTTTACTTACTCTGTCACCAAAAAGCTCTGGAAATGTCAGTCAGAATTTTCTGTATATGGCAATAACTGTGATATACCCACTGCAAAATAAAGCATTATTAGACATAATCATACCTTAAGCTGTGATGACAGATCTTAAAATGACTATAAGCTGTTGAAGGGGAAAAAGGGTCACAGTTATCTGTGGCACCAATTAAATTGACAGCATACATAGGATTTTACTCAGGGAGAATACCAGTGATCTGCGTTGGGCCACCATTTAGTACATGCAACTCTGCAGTGAGATTGCTGCTGGAAGATGCCTTATAAACAAGGGCTGGAAACATGGCATGGCTTTTTGAGGCAAGACTGTTTTTTCACTACCTATCAAGATAAATACCACACCAGTGATGTGTTCATACACAAAATGGTAATGAAATAGAAAAAGGGCATCCAGGGTGATAGCTGTGGGAGTGAGTCAGTGCATTAATTCTGCTTAGCAAGAAAGATGTTTAAATTTGAAAAAAAATCTGTAAGTATTAAAGGGTATTCATACTTCCTTCCTGTTATGACACTCATTCGACTAAAATATAAATAAAAGGAAATGGACTGACAAGGTTGGTAACTGGCTATAGTGAGAAGAAAGCTGAATAAATGAGCAAAGAATAGATTTTTAAAAATTTATTTAAAAGGATTATAGTTTTCAGATGTTTCATCTCTTAAGGCAGGCTGATGTTGATTTTTTTTTTTAAGCAATACTTACATCTGAAATAGTATCATGTACATTTTTAGACAGTACTCAAAAAAATTCCATATTCTATACAAATGGGGGAAATGCAATTCATAATTGACAAGGTATGAATTTTTTATACTTTAAGCCATGAGGTTGCCACATCAACAAATGTAATTCCTTAGCAAATATGTCTTATGTTTATATTTATGAAATGTACACAATTGACATAGAACCCAAAAGCGAATAAGTAAGCATTTTATATATATATTTATTTATTTTTATATATATATATATATTTACTTTGATTTACAAACTCCATTCTGGGAAATATTTATTAAATTAGAAACAAGGAATGAATGCAAGCAAAATGTGCTTAGAGTTTCAATTTCTCTTGGACTTGGTGTTACTTTTATGCATTTTACCAAAGCTTGGACTCACATCAAAGTGTTGGCCGTGTTTTGCTTTGATTTTTTAATTTTTAAAATGTATACAAAGCTACTCTCAAAGGTGAAAATGAAAAATTATTAAAACTTAAAAGTCATCTATGGAGGCACCACATTGCAGTGGTGATTTCATGTTAAATATCCTAAGCTAAAACAGCAAGAATCTTGGAAAGAGTGACCAAGTCTGGACACATAATATACTCCACATTTTGTGTAGCTATTGAAGAGGGCACCACAGCTTACTGAAGGGGCCATAAGATGAAAACATTTCTTGAAATAGCTTTGATATCCATTCAAATATAAGTTCTTTGAGGGTAAAGATTTTTTTTTTTTTTTTTTTTTTGTGGTACGCGGGCCCCTCACTGTTGTGGCCTCTCCCGTTGCGGAGCACAGGCTGCGGACATGCAAGCTCAGTGGCCATGGTTCACGGGCCCAGCCACTCCGCAGCATGTGGGATTTTCCCAGACTGGGGCACGAACGTGTGTCCCCTGCATCGGCAGGCGGACTCTCAACCACTGTGCCACCAGGGAAGCCCCAAGATCTTGTTTATCATGCCTCTCAACCTCCTTGATATCAGCATGAAGTTAGAGGAAGCAGTACTTCTAATTAGTTCCCCAGGAGTAAGGATGGGAAGTGAGGAAGTGGTCCCATCATCCCCAAAGAGCTGAAGCAATGGGAGTTGTCTTGAGAGGCTCCTAATCTGCCACCACTGTAAAAGTTGAGGCATCTCAACTCAAGTGGGTCTGAAATAAATCAGGTCTTCCAGTTCTGGCCTGCCATCATGGGGTGCAAAGAGACTGTTGTTGTTGTTTTTTCCTATTAATTAATTTGTTAACAAATACACAGTGGATATTAACTGGTCTTAAACTGTGAGCAGCTCACATTTCACTTATTAATATAGGAGATTTTTCAACATCTGCAAATCAATCAGTGTGATATACCACATCAAGAAATTGAAGAATAAAAACCATAAGATCATCTCAATAGATGTACTATAGTGGGTAAGAGCATTAACTCCAGAGCCAGCTGCTTGGGTTAGAATCCTGGCTCCACCACGGACCAGTTGTGTGACCCTGGGTAACTCCTCGTGTGTGGCAATAATTAAAGTTGCTAGACAAAGACAAGATGGTGGAGTAGTAGGACGTGAACTCACTTCTTCTTACAAAAACACCGAAATTACAACTAACTGCTGAACAGCCATCAACAAAAAAAATGGTGGAACCTACCAAAAAAGATACTCTACATCCAAAGACAAAGAAGAAGCCACAACGAGACAGTAGGAGGGGTGCAATCACAATAAAATCAAATCCCATACTCACTGGGTGGGTGACCCACAAACTGGAAAATAATTATACCACAGAAGTTCTGCCACAGGCGTGAAAGTCCTAAGTCCCACGTCAGGATCCCCAGCCTTGGGGTCTGGCAATTGGAGGAGGAGCCCCAAGAGAATCTGGCTTTGAAGGCCAGCAGGGTGTGATCACAGGAATTCCACGGGACTGGAGGAAACAGAAACTCCACTCTTGGAGGGCACACACAAGGTCTTGTGCACACCAGGACCCAGGAAAAAAAAGCAGTGACTTCATAAGACACTGGGCCAGACCTACCTGCTAGTATTGGAGGGTCTCTTGCAGAGGTGTGGTGTGGCTGTGGCTCACTGTGGAGACAAAAACACTAGCGGCAGTAGTTCTGAGGAGTACTCATTAGCATGGGCATTCCTGGAGGCCATTTTCCCACCAAGACCTGGCCCCACCCCACAGCCTGTAGGCTCCAGTGCTGGGATGACTCAGGCCAAACAACCAACAGGGCAGGAACACAGCCCCACCCATCAGCAGACAGGTTGCTTAAAGTCTTCCTGAGCACACAGCTGCCCAATAAACACACCCCTTGACACAGCCCTGCCCATCAGGGGGACAAGACCCAGCTCCACCCACCAGTGGGCAAGAACCAGTCCTTCCCACCAGGAAGCCTGCACAAGCCTCTTAGACAGCCTCATCCACTGTGGAGTCAGACAGCAGAAGCAAGAAGAACTACAACCCTGCAGCCTGCATAATGGAAACCACAATCAAAAAAGTTAGACAAAATGGGATGGCAGAGGAATATGTCCCAGATGAAGGAATAAGGTAAAACCTCAGAAGAACAACTAGGTGAAGTGGAGATAGGCAATCTACCCAAAAAAGAATTCAGAATAATGATAGTAAAAATGATACATGATCTCAGAAAAAGAATGGAGGTACAGATCGAAAAGGTACAAGAAATGTTTAACAAAGACCTAGGAGAACTAAAGAAAAAACAAACAGAGATGAACAGTACAATAACTAAAATGAAAAATACACTAGAAGGAATCAATAGCAGAATAACTGAGGCAGAAGAAAGAATAAGTGAGCTGAAAGAATGGTAGAAATCACTGCCATGAAACAAAATAAAGAAAAAGAATGAAAAGAAACAAGGACAGTCTCAGAGACCTGGGACGACATTCAATGCATCAACATTCTCATTATAGGTACTGCAGAAGGAGAAGAGAGAGAGAAATGACCTGAGAAAATATCTGAAGGATAATAGCTGAAAACTTCCCTAACATGGGAATGGAAACAGTCACCCAAGTCCAAGAAGCTCAGACAGCCGCAGGCAGGACGGACAAGGAGGAACATGCTGAGATGCATACTAATCAAGCTGACAAAAATTAACAACAAGAAAAAATATTAAAAGCAACAAATAACATACAAGGGAATTCCCATAAGGTTATCAGCTGATTTCTCAACAGAAACCCTGCAAACCAGGAGGGAGTGACATGATATATTTACAGTGAGGAAAGGGAAGAACCTATAACCAAGAACACTCTATCCAGCAAGGCTCTCTTTCAGATTTGATGGAGAAATCAAAAGCTTTACAGACAAGCAAAAGCTAAGAGAATTCAGTACCACCACACCAGCTTTGCAACAAATGATAAAGGAAATTCTCTAGGTGAAAAAGAAAAGGCCACCACGAGAAACAAGAAAATTACAAAGGGAAGAAGAGCCCACTAGTAAAGGCAAACATGCAGTAAAGGTAGGAAATCATCCACACACAAATATGAACACACCAATCACAAGTACTGAAATTGAAACTGTGATTAAAAAATCCCCAACAGACAAAAGTCCAGGACCAGATGGCTTCACCGGCACATTCTAGCAAACATTTAGAGAAGACTTAACACCTATCCTTCTGAAACTATTCCAAAAATCAGCAGAGGAAGGAACACTCCCAAGCTCATTCTGTGAGGGACACCATCACCCTGACACCAAAACCAGACAAAGATATCACAAAAAAAGAAAATTATAGGCCAATATCACTGATGAACACAGATGCAAAAATCCTCAACAAAATACTAGCAAACTGAATTCAATAGTACATTAAAAGGTTCATACACCATGATCAAGTGGGATTTATCCTAGAGAATCAAGGATTTTTCAACATCTGCAAATCAATCAGTGTGATATACCACATCAAGAAATTGAAGAATAAAAACCATAAGATCATCTCAATAGATGTAGAAAAAGCTTTTGACAAAATTCGACACCCTTTATGATTAAAAAGCTCTCCAGAAAGTGGGAATAGAGGGAACATACCTCAACATAATAAAGGCCATATATGACAAACCTACCACTAACATCATACTCAAAGGTGAAAAGCTGAAAGCATTTCCTCTGAGATCAGGAATAACACAAGGGTATGCACTCTCACCACTTTTATTCAATATAGTTTTGGAAGTCTGAGCCATGACAATCAGAGAATAAAAAGAAATAAAAGGAACCCAAATTGGAAGACAAGAAGTAAAACTGTCACGATTTGCAGATGAGATGATTCTATACATAGAAAATCCTAAAGATGCTACCAGAAAACTACTAGAGCTCATCAATGAATTCGGTAAAGGTGAAGAATACAAAAT